CTGGAGCAAGCCATGTTGTCTAAGATGTATACATGTATATCTGGAATGGAAGAAGAGAGGTGTAGGTGACATCTCAGAAGGGGTTGGATGGAAGATGTGTTGGTGGAGGTTACGAGAGGAAGGGACTTTGATATCCAGCAGACATATCATAACAAGATAGATCACAACTGAAACTAGTGGTCTTTGAAATTTAGTGTGCTGAGTGTGAGCAAAGTATAAATGTGAAGAAATTCAGAGAATCCAGTTAACAAGACTCGAATTTTAAAAATAAAAAGTAGAGTACCTGCTCTCTGAAGGTTGTGGAATATGCTGCAATTCAGTGTATCATTGGAATTGTTATCTGTACACTTCTAGACAGCTAGGGAATGAGTCATTGAAGTGTTTTCCTTCTTTGGACCACCATGCTTTAGTAGGAAATGACAGGTGTGTTATAAAGAAGATATATTCATCATCATTATTACACTATTTCTCCATAAAAAAAAATAACAGGAGCAGACTATCAGTTATAAATTCACATTAACTGCTAAGATTTCTTAAACAAAAAAGAAACTTTAATAAACACCCTTTAAACTATGCTGAGGGGGAGGTGGGAAAAGAACAACAGAAACTAAATAAATTATTACCATGATTCATTTCCAAGCAGGTTAAGAACATTGCTATAAACTGCTTAGGATTAAATCATGCATGAGAAAAAACTACAATAGGGATTGTAGAGAGGGCACCCGTTGCCCAATAATGGTTCTTTGGACTACACTTACAGTGAGGAGTCACTTGTTGATGGTTTCTTCCAATTTTCCTTGCTTTCATATTGCCCTACAATAATTTCTTAAAATTGTGTATTAAAAAATTATGAGTGGCAGATTCATTATCATTTTGTTCATTATTAGGCAAAAGGACACATGCAACTAATACAATATTTTATTGTGGTAACATTTTCCTCTACAGGAGCTTTGTCAAGCCATTATGGCTTTTTTTTTTTTTTAACACATCAGTCATTTCCCACCGAGGCAGGGTGACCCAAAATGAAAGAAAAACTCAAAAATAAAGAAAAATATTTTCATCATTCAACACCTTCAACATCACTCATACATTATCACTGTCTTTGCAGACACACTCAAATACAACAGTTTAGAAGTCCCTCCAAACTACCAATATCCCAACCCCCTCTTTTAAAGTGCAGGCACTGTACTTCTCATTTCCAGGACTCAGGTCCAGCTAACCGGTTTCCCTGAATCCCTTCACTAAATATTACCCTGCTCACACTCCAACAGCTTGTCAAGTCCCAAAAACCATTCATCTCTATTCATTCCTATCTAACAGGCTTGTGCATGCTTGCTGGAAGTCCAAGCCCCTTGCCCACAAAACTTCCTTTAGCCCCTCCCTCCACATTTTCGAGGACACCCCCTACCCTGCCTTTTTTCCCCTAAAGATTTATACTCTCTCCAAGTCATTCTATTTTGTTCCATCCTTTCTAAGTGACCAAACCACCTCAACAACCTCTCTTCAGCCCTCTGACTAATACTTTTAGTAACTCCACACCTCCTGCTAATTTCCACACTACAAATTCTCTGCATAATATTTACACCACACATTGCCCTTAGACACAACATCTTCACTGCCTCCAGCCGCCTCCTCGCTGCAGCAATTACAACCCAAGCTTCACACCCACATAAGAGTGTTGGTACCACCATACTTTCATACATTCCCTTCTTTGCCTCCAGGGATACCATTTTTTGTCTCCACAGATACCTCAATGCACCACTCACATTTTTGCCTTCATCAATTCTATGGTTAACTTCATCTTTCATAAATCCATCTGCTGACAAGTCAACTCCCAAATATCTCTCCAATGTGATATCCAATTTTTCTTTATCTAAATCGTTTGGTACCCTCATCACCTTACTCTTATCTATGTTCACTTTTGACATTCTACCTTTACACATCCTCCGAAACTCGTCCACTAACCTTTGCAACTGTTCTTTAGAATCTCTCAAAGGCACAGTATCATCAGCAAAAAGTAACTGTGTCAACTCCCATTTTATATTTGATTCCCCATAATTTAATCCCACCTCTCTCCCCAATACCCAAGCACTTAGTTCTTTTACAACCCCATCTATAAATATATTAAACAACCATGGCAACATTACACAACCCTGTCTAAGACCTACTTTGACCGGGAAGTAATCTCCCTCTCTCCTACACACCTTAACCTGAGCCTTACTATCCTCATAAAAACTCTTTACAGCATTTAGTACCTTACTAACTTTTCCATACACCTGCAACATCTGCCACATTACTCCCCTATCCACTCTATCATATCTTCATCTTTCTTTCAACACACCGGCCGTATCCCACCAAGGCAGGGTGGCCCAAAAAGAAAAACGAAAGTTTCTCTTAAATTTAGTAATTTATACGGGAGAAGGGGTTAACTCTATCATATGCCTTTTCTAAATCTATAAATGCAATGAAAACTTCTCTACCTTTATCTAAATACTGTTCACATATATGCTTCAATGTAAACACTTGATCTACACAGCCCTTATCCACTAAAGCCTCCTTGCTCATCCGAAATCCTACTCTCTGTCTTACCTCTAATTCTTTCAATAATAATGCTACAATACACTTTACCTGGTATACTCTGTAAACTTATTCCCCAATAATTTTTACAATCTCTTTTGTCCCCCTTCCCTTTATATAGAGGAACTATGCATGCTCTCTGCCAATCCCTAGGTACCTTCCCTTCTGTCATACATTTATTATACAAAAACATCAACCACTCCAACACTATATCCCCCCTGCTTTTAACATTTGTCATGATCCCATCAGTTCCAGCTGCTTTACCCCCTTTCATTCTATGTAATGCCTCACTCAACTCCTCCCCACTCGCATCCTGTTCTTCTTCACTCCTAAAAGATGTTATACTTCCCTGGCCCGTGCATGAAATTACTGCCTCCCTTTCTTCATCGACTTTAAAAGTTCCTCAAAATATTCCCACCATCTACCCAATACCTCCAATTCCCTATCAACTAACTCCCCTACTCTGTTTTTAACTGACAAATCCATGTTATGTTATGGCTTTGTCAAGCCATAATGACTCGACAAAGCTGGAGAGCAAAACATTGCCACAATAAATGTTGCATTCATTACACATGTGTCCTTTTACCTAACATGCTGGCAGTAAGTCTACCAACACTATTACAATTTATGTTTAGTTTCAGATTCCACTGATGAAAAACATTACCTAAAGACATTTAATTACACTGCTTACATAATTCATTTTATTATTTATAACTGAGTAACACCTTATCATTATCAAGTACAATACTGTTAAGATGGTGCTGTGTTGATTAATTGACACAATCAAACCTCAGTGATTGTGTTAATAATAAAAAGTGTGAACACAGCAAACACCAAGACTTAACTACAGTGCCTTCTGCTAATAATATTAAAGAAGACATTTTGCAGAACAAGCTTCTATTGTGTCAAGATCTTAACAGATCAAAATATTGTCCTAATACAAGCTTATTCTTCAGCATGCATCACCACATAAACAACAACAAAAAAAGTTAGGTGTTTAAAAGAAGGAAGATAGAATGCTTAATACCTGTTGGTTCACTAAATGTACGAGTTTGCACTCATCATCCACTTGTTGTGGCATGCTAGTTGCAGTGTTGTTCATTTGACTGTCTCCTCTTCCATCATGTCTACCACCACCACCGCCGCCACCACCACCACCACCACCACTTGTGTTGCCACTGCTACCACCGCCACCACGGCCATCGCCACCTCCTCCCCCAGCTGTTGCTGGGGTTCCTTGTTGAGGTTCTTGGCTAGGATGCTGAACCTTAGCCTTAGATGCCTTCTGTGCTATTTGATTACCCACTTCCTTCTGAATGGGGTGGTTGGGATCAGCCAAATCAAACAAAGGCTGTATAACATCTTCAGCAAATACTTGATTCTTCTGCCACAAATTCAACACACGAATGACTTTACTCTGAAACACATATACTGTATTTTAAATTTATGAGGTATTTGTGTACATTTCCTGACAATAAGACAATAATGCATAATTCCAATTTTTTTGGTAACTTCAATATTAGCTTAAATTTTATTTTTGCAAGCAATCAACAATGACCTGACTGATCTGAGTCTAGGCAGTAATTAGCAAGCAAAGAATCAAGCCTTTACCACTCCACGAGCCAAGTGACTCACACAATGCATTATACTAACCTTATCCTCCTGAGGACATTTGAACAAGTAGAAAAAAGTTACGAGGATGTTCTTGGCAAACCTAGGAGCAAATACATCTTTCTCAATGCCAAACTGGTGTCTGCTTTGACGCACTATGCTGTCTATTACATACAAACCTGGGATCTTGTACTCGGTT